CAGGTTCCTCATTCCAAACCCTGGGATGTAATCAATACCTTTGTATTTTTTTGCCTATATAACCTTGGAGCTGCGACCATCTTGTTACTATGAGATTTGGGGAATGGCCCCTCATAGTCCCAGATTGCAATAAATGTGACTCTTTAATTCGAAAAAAAATAAAATAAAAATTCATTGTGACTCCAGCCAGCGTGGCTCAGTGATAGAGCGTAGATCTATGAACTAGGAGATCATGGTTTGATTCCTGATCAAGGCACATGCCCGGGCTGCAGGAGGCAGTCGATCAATGATTCTCTCTCATCATTGATGTTTCTACCTCTCTCCCCCTCTCCCTTCCTCTCTGAAATCAATACAAATACATATATACACACACACACACACACACATATAGTAGAGAATCCAGTGACAAATGGTAAAATTTGAGTAAGGTCTGCAGATTAGATGATAGTATTTTATCAATTTCCTGACTTTGACAATTTTACTGGACTCATTAGAGAATGCCCTTGATTTTAAAAAATAAACACTCAAGCCCTGGCCAGTGTGGCTCAGTTGGTTGAGGGTTGTCCCCAGCACCAAGAAGTCACATGCATAGGTCTGGTGTGGGAGGCAACTGATCAATGTTTCTCTTGCACATTCCTCCCTCTCTCAAAATTAATTTTTTAAAAATTTAAAAATAATAATAAACATTCAAATATTTAGGAGTAAAGGGGCATTGAGACTGCAACTTATTCATTTATACACAATGCAAACCTAAGTAATCAACATGTTGGAATACAGGCAACACTGTTCTTTTTTTGGAATAAGAATGACAAAAATTATAGGTAAGAGAATATGACAAGGCAATTTCCTTTTTAGAGACCAAAACTGTACAGCACGGGGCCAACTGAGATGCAGCTTGTTGAATTATTCATTGAAATGAGTAAGACAATAAGGACAAAGCACACCTTCCCCACAATCAGTGTAAAAGTGTTACTATGAGACCATTCACAAAAAGAAACCAAGTAACAAGTATTCTGAACTCAGAAGGTTGTGAAAAACCATGATGATTTGAATAATCCAAATGTGATGACTGCAACAAAAAGACTAGACTAGTGGTTGGCAAACTCATTAGTCAACAGAGCCAAATATCAACAATACAACGATTGAAATTTCTTTTAAGAGCCAAATTTTTTAAACTTAAACTATATAGGTAGGTACATTGTTATTAACTTAATTAGGGTACTCCTAAACTGGCCTTTGCTAAAAACGTCCTCAATCTGAGGGGTCGACCTCAGCGACCCCACTTCTTCCAACGCCACTTCTTTAAAATAGACTCACCCAGGCCGAAAACCGACTTCTGCGCATGGGCCACGAAGTTTCAATCGCACTGTACGTGCGCACCCGCACGTGGTATTTTGTGGAAGAGCCACACTCAAGGGGCCAAAGAGCCGCATGTGGCTCGTGAGCCGTGGTTTGCCGACCGCTGGACTAGACTATTCTGACTGGTTCCAGGGGCATTCTGGGTTGTCTGACAACATGGCGCTGATCTAGAGCAGCGGTCGCCAACCGGTGGTGCGTGGACCATTGGTGTGATTGGCAACCTCTGATGTAAGGAAACCTTTGGAGCAGCGGTCGCCAACTGGTGGTTTGCGGACCACTGGTGGTCCATGAGGTCCGAAAGGTTGGCGACCGCTGATCTAGAGCAATGAGGAAACAGACTCCTCTGAGATCTGTGGAGAGCTCTGGCCTTGCAGTGGATTCACAGCCCAGGCTAAGAACCCTGGCTCAGTGAAATGGAAAAGTATTTTTAATAAGAACTTTTAGAGTCATGAAATTACCCTGAACTATCAACTTGCAGGTATGACAACATTTATGCCAAGAAACAAAAAATTAGTAGCCATTAACTAGAATGCTAACAAACTGCAACACTAATTGTCAAATCAAAATTAAGTTCATTATCTCACTAGCACTAGTGAGCTACAATATATCAAAAGTAATAAGCACAAATAATTCAAACACCTTGTTCAAAAATATCAATAACATGAAGGGTGGTGCCAAACACTTCAAAATTTTATAGAAAACCTTTTTTTTTGGATGGCGCTAAAACCGATACATACGAACATAATTTTTAAAACACTTAACTAGGAGCATTGAGAAAAAGAATGCATTCAGATATACAATCTAGAATAAAAACCAAAAAAACAAACTCACCAGCAATTTCTACAATATCACCAGGAACTATGTCTTTAGCTTTAATCCGTTGTACACTCTTTCTGTCCTGTCTATACACTTTACCCATTTCAGGCTCATACTCCTTAAGGGCTTCAATTGCATTTTCTGCATTTCTTTCCTGTAAAAAAGAAAACAAGATAAAAGTAGTGAACACATGCCTACCACTGCAAGTATTTCTAACCCAAAGAATCAAATTTTATAGAGTTCTAAACTTAAAAGACACAAGAGAAGTACATTAACTACAGTTGTACTAACAATTCACATTTTAGGTGACAAATGCTAGGCCCTTATGAGTTTGTATTAAAGATGAGCCTAGTGGGCATGGCTCAATGATTGAGAGTCAAACTGTGAACCAGGAAGTCACGGTTTGATTCCCCATCAGTGAGGTGTGGACTCGAATCCCAGAGTTGGGCGGACAGGAGGTAGCCGATCAAGGATTCTCTTTCATCAATGTTTTTCTCTCCCTGTCCTTTCCTCTCTGAGATCAATAAAAATATATCTTTTAAAAAGATGAAAAAATAAGCCCCTAAAGGTAAGGGAATAAAATCATAATGTAGAAAATGATTCTGCTGTTCCTAAGCACAGCTGAGACACAGACCTCACCTCCAGCCACACACACCTATACCATTTAAATCAATCCTGTCTCACATGAAAGGTGATGATCTGGGGTTTGACTGCCTAGGTTCATTCCAGACTTTTCCACTTAACAGCTACACGCATGTCAAACTCGCAGCCATGCCTGTATGGCCTTTTATTTAAACAAGGCATGCGGCCCGCCAGCCGCGAGTTTGACATGCTTGAGCTACACGGTTGTGGGTAATTTACACAACACACAGTTTTACTGCCTTCAAAGCCAGGACACTTACAGTGCCTACTTTAAGGGTTGTGTGGATTTACAAGCTGTATGTAGAATGCTTAGACCAGGAGTGGACAACCCCTGGCACGCGTGCCAAACATGGCACGCCAGTAACTTTTGCTGGCACGCAAAACCCTCTCACAATTTTTTTTAATATCGACTTTATTTTTCAGATAAATTCAGTGTAGGTGCATCTTAGATAAATAAATAATTTTACATAACAAGTTATCTTAAAGACCATAGACATGGATTGACGAGAGAGGGGAAGAGCAATTTCAATAGTGTCGAAAATGAACTACTGAGGACTTGGAATGCCATTCCAGAAAATTTTTTCTGTTTAAAAAACTTTGCAACAGCGTTACTCTTCATGTTTTCATCCACATATGCTTGTGAATCTTTGTTCTCAGTGATGAATTTTGTTAAGTCTCGTCATAGGAGTAGCCTGACGGATGAAAGTAGTAGCTCGTGCATATTTCTGAAGGTCACGAAATATAAACCTGATGTAAAATCTCTGTCATCAGTGATGCAGCAGCAAAAGTCCCACTGATAATATCAAACGGAGTCATAAAGTTTTCTGTCGGACTATCAGTGTACATGTATACATTAAAAAATAAATGTATTTTTCATCATGATATACTGTTTTTGTCACTCGAATGACTTTTATTATTTCTTCAAGGTTCTTCACGTACGTACACCTTAAGAGATATCAAGTAGGCGTAACATGTTCTCAAAAAATTAGGGTTGACACGCAGAAGAATTCAGAGTCAGAGATTTTGCTGGTTTTGGCACGCACTCACAAAAAGGTTGCCCACCCCTGGCTTAGACTGTGATTTGGCATATAGTAAATTCCATAGATGATAAATTAATAAAATTGTTATGTCTCACAAATTCTAAGGAATCTCTCTCTAGTGGCAAAAGCCAATAAATGGTTGGGATTTCATTATAGCACTGCCAGTTGCATACCATATTTACCATATTATTTATGAACACAATCAAGACTTAGTCACAGTTTTTCTTTCCCAATTTCTAGATGAAAGATGTAGAATCAAAAGGAGTCATGTGTGTGTATGTGTGTGTGGGGAAACTACAGGAAAGTTCCTTTAAGGGGCAAAAAATAAAAATAAAAGAGAAAACCTTGTGTGCCAAATTTGTCTTCTTTCCTTTTGGAGAATAAGTAACTCAAAGTTAAGGAGCAAGCTGATAAAGTGCATGCCCAGTTGAGGTTGTTGGATGGACAAAGGAGAGGATTCTTTTCTTTTCCCTCACATTTTGGTCCTCCAACTTCAAGTTCTTCAATTTAACCTTTACTTGGATAGAATTTATGCTCAATCCTATGCAATCTTATTTTTTACCTTACTGTAAGAATTATGTTCTATTGTGGAAATCCTTAAACCTAAGAATTTAGATGACACAACACTGAAAGCTAATGTGTCTTACTTTTTGATGTATGCATCTCTGATAAAGTACAGAACTATATATAACTAGAGGCCTGATGCATGAAATGCGTGCAAGGGGCTCAGCCCTCACAGCCCCAGCTGCCTCGGGGCCCTTTGGCCCCGCCCCCCGCCCACTGGTCAATGCGTAAGGTCATTCTGCCTTCTGGTCTAATTAACATATTAGCTCTTTATTATATAGGATTATATCTGTAATTATAACTTTCCTTACTTCCAGAAGGTAAGAGCCCTCAAGTATTGCCTATACCATTCTGTATACTATGCAAATGGGATTAAGATATAAGAATGTTAGTCTTTTTTTAAACTGCTATAAAATTTTACTTTGGAATTCGTATCAGCTCAGATTCAAATTTCAGATACTCTATGTACCTTGGGTTACGTCGGACTCAACGTATGTCGTTTCATGGTTACGTTGCCATCTCTCACTTATTTATAAAAAAATAAGTTCCATCATTTCAATGTATGTACATATGTGCTTTATGTTTATTATTTATTTACCACAAGTAAAGGTCAGGAATTGTTATCTTTCTTTTAAATTTTTTTTACTGTTTCGCTTCATTACTGCTGTGTGTGTGCTCCATGTGAGTGACGTAGGTGCTTATGTAGGTGGGTTCCGACTTACGGCAAAAATCGAGTTACATCGCACTGTAGGAATGGATCTCCGACGTAACCCAAGGACCTACTGTGCTACCTATATGGCCTTTGATAAGTCACTTAATCACTATGAGCTTCAATGGTACATCTGTCAAATGGGAGTATCATCTGCCTTACAGGATCACTGTAAGGATGAAATGGGAATGTACATAAAGTATCTACCACATAACTGGAATAAATTAACTAAAAATACATACTACTAGCTTGAGAAAGACAATCTAATGCTGTGTATTGTTTCTTTTGCCTAAATTATTCACAAGAGGCTCATTTGTACTTAAATATAAACAATGTAAGGAATATAGTACAATTAAAATTTTCTAAGTAGGCCATCTTTCTATATGAGCCCAACACATAAAGATCATTGTGTTTATTAACACAAATCAGAAGTTTACCCTTTTTTATTGTTGATTTTTAGACAGAGTGGAGGGGAGAGAGGCAGACAAACTGAAACATCGGTGAGAGAAACACATCAATTTGGTTGCCTCCTGTATGCATCCAGGACTGGGGATTGAGCCTGCAACCGAGGTACATGCCCTTGGCCAGAATCAAACCTGGTACTCTTCAGTCTGCAAGCCTATGCTCTATCCACTGAGCCAAACCAGCTAGGGCAGAAGTTTACACACTTTAATAACAGATGCACTATTTTATTTAGTCCTCAAAGGGATGACTATATCCATCAAAAACCTAAAAGAGCAATATTTAAAATAAATTTGAAGTATTAGTTTCAGAGTCTTAAAAATATATATATATTAACTATCAAACAGATCAACAAACAGTCCTAGAAAAGTTAAAGTCCTCAAACTAGATATGTGCAGAAGAACACTTATGTGAGTTGGGAGGGTGGAGGGATGGGGGAAAGAAATCCCATTCTGTTTCTGAAATAAAATTAGCTTCCATTCTGTGACTAAGAAAGGCTCGGGTGACTGGCTGAAAACAGCCAGGAATATGCTCTGAAAGAAAAACAATTTAAGATTTAAACAATTTGCCCTAGCCAGTCTAGCTCAGTGGATAGAGTGTCAGCTTGCGGACTGAAGGGGCCCAGGTTCAATTCCAGACAAGGGCATGTACCTCAATTGCAAGCTCGATCCCAAGTTTTTCCCAGAAAGCAGCTAGGAAATACAAAGACAGATACTGGTTCTTAAATTTTCTGGTTTTTGCCCTAACCGGTTTGGCTCAGTGGATAGAGCCTCGGCCTGTGCACTGAAGGGTCCCAGGTTCAATTCCGGTCAAGGGCATGTACCTTGGTTGTGGGCACATCCCCAGAAGGGGGTGTGCAGGAGGCAGCCGATCGATGTTTCTAACTCTCTTTCCCTCTCCCTTCCTCTCTGTAAGTAGCTTCTCTCATCCATTGTTCTTATCTCTATGCTATCATGAAGGATGAACAATTCATATAAGCATGAGCAAAGTATATATGCGCAAGAGATCTAAAATTTTGCCATTAAATAAACTAATGAACAAATGAAAACACATGTAGACATTTCGGAAGTATTTTTAGTCAACACATCAGGAAAAAACGGATAACAGAAAGATTAAGTCACAGAAATTACTAAAACTTAGTAGTGGAGGATTTTGTGCTTACCTGCCAGACACCCACAATGGCATTGGCTACTAATATAAGTAAAATTACAAAGGGTTCTACAAAGGCTGTAATTGTTTCTTCACCTTCTTCAAACCAAGCCAAAACCTAAAAGAGAAATCATATGTGATGTGTTAGAATTGTAATGTATTTTTAGGCTTATTGCCACTTTATAACAAAAGTGGCTGGCACTAATGGAATTACAACACACAAAAATCTCTCTTTTCATCCCTAGAAACCAATAGTGGTGAAATGTAATGACATAAAAGATGGCTTATGTCTTATTCAAAATAATTATTGAGAATCGAAAGCATACAACTTCTTAACAATACCCTTAAGAGCTAATTTATTTTTTCATGTAATAATTGTTTTAAAACCCAAATAAAACACTTAGGAAAGTAAACCCATTCATTTTATATGTATACTAGAGGCCTGGTGCATGAAATTCGTGAATTGGAGAAGGGGGCGGAGGGAAGATCCCCTCAGCCCGGCCTGCGTCCTCTTGCAGTCCAGGACCCCTTGCTCCTTACCACCTGCCTGCGTGCTGCTCCTTAGTGCTGCTGCGGAGGCAGGAGATGCTCCCACCACTGCCGTTGCACTCGCCAGCCATGAGCCTGGCTCTGGCTGAGCGGCGCTCGGACTGACCACCAGGGGGCAGCTCCTGCATTGAGTGTCTGCCCCGATGGTCAGGGTGCATCATAGCAACCAGTCGTTCTGGTCGTTCCGCCATAATGGACGCTTAGGCTTTTATTTTTTAATATATTTTGATTTTTCATAGAGTACGGGAGAGGGATAGAGTTAGAAACATCGATGAGAAAGAAACATCGATCAGCTGCTTCCTGCACACCTCCCACTGGGGATGTGCCTGCAACCCAGGTACATGCCCTTGACCGGAATCGAACCTGGGACCCTTCAGTCCGCAGACCAACGCACTATCCACTGAGCCAAACCAGTTAGGGCTTAGGCTTTTATTATATACTAGAGGCCCGATGCATAAAATTCGTGCAAGAGTAGGCCTTCCTTTCCCCGGCTGCCAGCACTGGCTTCCCTCTGGCACCTGGGACCTGGGCTTCCCTTACAGCCCCTGCTTCGTCCTTAAGGACATCCAGAAGGACATCCGGTCTAATTAGCATATTATGCTTTTATTATTATAGATTATATAGACTAGAGGCCCAGTGCATGATATTAGTGCACTAGTAGGGTCCCTAGTGGCTGCTGGCCAGGGCTTCCCACCCTTCCCCTGGTCAGCCCTGCGCCTGGTCAAACTCCCAGATGGAACTCCCGGGCAAGGGGACAAATTGCATACTAGACTTTTATTATATAGGATATTCAGAAGGGAAACTTACACTCTTAATTTTGTTAAAGTAAAGGCAAATGACTGTAAAAAAAATCAATAAAATATATTAAAAAATAAAATAAACATTGACTCGCGCACTACTATTATAGAGAAAGGGCCAATAGCAATATTAAAATATTTTAGATTTTAATTTTATAATACTATATTATATATACTAGTTTGACATGTAATTTTTTGTAGTAACATAATTACTGCACAAATCTTCTAATTAATTTCCTTTCAATGTGCACGAATCCATGCACCAGGCCACTAGTATCAAATAATATCCTTGGCATAAATCCATAATAAAAATAACTTGATCACTGACTCAAATTTTTTCCCATTGGTATTACTGAAGGTTGTCTCAGAATTATTGCAAGGTTGTCCCATAATCAGGAATATATTTTGAAGGTTATCCTCCATATGACATCTAGTATAGCAGCACAGCATTTCAGGAATGACATAAGTCTAAAAATATTACAACTGGACACAGAACACTGCGCCAAGAAAAATGAGAAGAGAATTAATTTCTTGCTAACACATCCATAACTTTATTAAGGTCCAAAAGCTACAAGAGAGCCATGGTATACTTCATAGTTGAGAAACACTAAGGTGATTAAGAGAGAATCCAACACAATGAATACTATTAAAATTTTTGGCCAGTGGTGTGGCTCAGTGTTGATCATCAACCTGTGAACCAGGTGGTCACAGTTCGATACCCAATCAGGGTACAAGCGGGCTCGATCCCTAGTAGGGAGCATGCAGGAGGCAGCTGATCAGTGATTCTCTCTCATCATTGATATTTTTCTCTCTCTCCCTCTCCCTTCCTCTCTGAAATTAATAAAAATGTATTTTAAAAAATAAAAATAATATTAAAATTTTAACAAGACATTTCTGTGAAAAACTGCCAATCCAGGAAAGATGTTAAACATATCTAATGATTCAATCTGGTAGCTAAGGATTACCTTTGTTTTTTAAAACTGCTTAAAATGTTCCCATATTTCACAAAATCTTTTCTTTAAAAGATTTAGTAAGCAATAAAAGCGCCATTTTTGATACTTGTAATATTGTCAGATATCATTTAGGGCAATAATAAAGCCACTGGACTATGTACTTAGTGGAATACTCTAAAGTGAGCTTTTATACAAATAGCTATCAGAAAGATGACTAAAGGCAAGAGCCAACATGAATTTTGCCAAGTAAAAGAGGGTAATGACGAATTAACAAGAAATACCAATTAGGGCAGGAAAAAAACCCCAGTAGACACCAGGACCAGGTAGATGTCAATCACAACTGACAGCTAGTGAACCAGGGCAGGAAGAAAACCAAAATAATTATAAATGTTGCTGTAAGCTTTCAACAGGACATTCCTGGTGTTAAAGCCAGGCCTAATGCCAAAGTGAAATCTTCTCTAGGAAGTTGTAAATTTTGATAGATGCAAGATCACAGCTGCTTTAATACTAGCCTTCCAAACATTTGCCAAGGATAGTATATGAGAAATAAGAAACTTAATTAGCTCTTGGGAGAGAAAAACTGCTCAACTTGAAGAGTAACTAGGACCTTTCCAAAAGGTCAGTGAAGCATTAGCAACTGTAAGATAAGCTTCACACCTTGTTAAAGCGGATATGAATTTCCCTCTTGGCAGCTAGGCCTAGAGGAACAAACTTAGAGCAATATCCCATAACAGCTGGAGAAAGGAAAAGACTAAGGCAAGCAGTGATGGATGAGAGCAAACCTCCACTTTTCAAGAAATGTAGTTTCTTTGCACAAGTGGTATTCATCAATAATATAATAATCCTAACCTGTACAGTGTAGTCGTCTTTCCTTCCACAATATCACTTTAAATGTTTACGTGTAAGAAACACAGGCATTTATAGTTCTTTAAAAGTTCTGCAGATATACTAATTACTGCTTCATAAGAAACTAGTGAGCAAATAAATCTCTTAGGATAGAAGGATGGTGCTGATATTAAAAATTGACAACCAACAATTTCCTGAGTACTTTAAAAAATGCCTATTTTAAAACCACAAATAACCCAAAGAATTAAATACTACAGTCCAAAATGAAAATAAACTGTATTTCATTAACTGGTAAGAATCAATCCAGTCTATCATGTTCAAATCACATTGTACAATCCTTCATGGTTTTGTTCTATTGAAAAGAAAACCTCTCTTGTGTAAGTGGTGTTGACAAATAAAAGACTCCATAAGATGAGGAAGAAGGTAGAGAAAAGGAGAAACTGGATGAGTGACACGTTACTGAAATGCAAGATGCCTCATTAGCATAATAGTACAGCCAGTTCATTATGATTTTCTAGAAGTTATAAAAAATGTATTTATGCCCTAACCGGTTTGGCTCAGTGGATAGAGCGTCGGCCTGCGGACTGAAAGGTCCCGGGTTCGATTCTGGTCAAGGGCATGTACCTTGGTTGTGGGCACACCCCCAGTAGGGGGTGTGCAGGAGGCAGCTGATCGATGTTTCTCTCTCATCGATGTTTCTAACTCTCTATCCCTCTCCCTTCCTCTCTACAAAAAAATCAATAAAAATATATTGAAAAAAGTGTTATTTCATAAATATATAAAAAAAATATATATATACACACACACACCTATTTATTTATTTATTTATTTATACAGGAGGGAGGGGAAAATGTTTACAGAAATTATTGAGAATAGATTGGCCCGGCTGGTGTGGCTCAGTGGTTGAGCCTTGACCTAAGAACCAGGAGGTCACAGTTCTACTCCAGGTCAGGGCACATCCTGGGTTGCGGACTCAATCCTCAGTAGGGGGCATGCAGGAGGCAGTCGATCAATGATTCTCTCTCACTGATGTCTCTCTCTCTCTCTCTCTCTCTCTCTCTCCTTCTCCCTTCCTCTCTGAAATCAATAAAAAATTTTTTTAAAAAAGAAAAGAAGGTTGAGGCAAAGAAGCTATTAGCAAGAGAAAAGAAAGGGTTATTTTGGGGTTGAGACATGTCCTTTTGGGAGAAGAGAACGAGAAGGGTTTCATTATGCAGATTAGCCTCTTCTTTGGGGAAATGTAGGAGGGCCCATGTGATAGATGACCTCATTGGTGTTGACGAGAAACTTCCAGACTCACCTCTCCCTTTCTCTCTGAAATCAATAAAAAATATATTTTAAAAAAGAGAGAGAATAGGTTGAACATAAAAAATTATCTGTTTGTATTGCCTTTTGTTCACTGTTGTATCCCCAGGGGCCTAAAAGATCTCTTATACACATTGATGCTCACTATGTATTTATTAAATAAATGTACTAACAAATTTAACAAAACTTCATACAATCTCTAAGGTATACTAGTAAGACTCTTAAGTGGCAGTGTATGAACTTAAACATTAAGAGCAAAAAGATAACCAACTTCAACAGCATCAAAGAAAAGTGGAAGAAAAGGCTACTGCAGTATAATTTTAGGCATAAAGAGTTTCTTGTTCCCTTTGCTTTGCACCAGGGGTCCTCAAACTTTTTAAACAGGGGGCCAGTTCACTGTCCCTCAGACCGTTGGAGGGCCGGACTATAGTTTAAAAAAAAAAACTATGAACAAATTCCTATGCACACTGCACACATCTTATTTTGAAGTAAAAAACAAAACGGGAACAAATACAATATGTGTATTTGCATGTGGCCCGCGGGCGGTAGTTTGAGGACCCCTGCTTTGCACTGTTTAAATACAGAAACATTACCCATCTTCTGGGGCTTACATTATCCAGCAAGTTCAATTTCAAACTTGTTAATCCTATTCAAAGTAACCACTTGCTAATGAACATTCATCTACAATGTAAACTGCTTCAATAGGGTAAGATGGTATCTTTTAATTGTTATCTGTAAGACTGATGTTTGTATAGCACAATAACCTCTAAGACAGGGGTTCTCAACCTTCCTAATGCCTCGACCCTTTAATACAGTTCCTCATGTTGTGGTGACCCCCAACGATAAAATTATTTTCGTTGCTACTTCATAACTGTAATTTTCCTACTGTTATGAATCGTAATGTAAATATCTGATATGCAGGATGTATTTTCATTGTTACAAATTGAACATAATTAAAGCATAGTAATTAATCACAAAAACAATATGTAATTATATATGTGTTTTCCGAATGTCTTAGGAGACTCCTGTGAAAGGGTCGTTCGACCCCCAAAGGGGTCGCGACCCACAGGTTGAGAACAGCTGCTCAAGAGAAGAGCCAAATGATTCTCTCATCATTGATGTTTCTCTCCCTCTCCCTTCCTCTCTGAAATCAATAAAAAAAATAAAACAACACTGTTCAAATCTTCTTGAAGACTTAAAAGCTAGAGATTTTTTTTAATTCCTAAGGAAAATCCCTTTAATGTACTTCAGAACAAATTTGCTGTGTGAATAGTTACCAAATCTACCTAAATTACATGAAGTCCTATGTTTAAAAAAATTAAAAATGAATTTTAAGATTAAAAAAACGTATAAATTAGATTACATTCTCTTTCAATGCCAACACAAACCTTCTGAAAACACTCAATGTTTTTCAGATTTGAGACTATAATCTTCTTCAGAACAGCAAAAAAATACATACATATTCACCTTTCATATTTTAAAGAAGGTTTTAAATATGTTAAACCAGTAAACTGCTCATTTTACCTTTTTAAAAATAAGAAATTAAAAGAAAACGCCCCACACTGGGTATGGAGCCCGCAACCCAGGCATGTGCCTTGACTGGGAATTAAACTGTCATCTCCAGGTTCATAGGTCAATGCTCAACCACAGAGCCATGCAGGCTGGGCTCAAACACTTCTTATATATAGTTCGGAGAAAACCAAAGTATAAGGATCTCACATATTTTGAAAACGCTACTAACACTAACTCATCCAAATACATATTAGTTATAGCAAATGCAACAATCTAGGCTCTAAAGGGAATTAAGAATCCCTTTAGCCCAGCTGGCGTGGCTGTTGTGGCACAGTGTTTGAGTGCTGACCTATGAACCAGGAGGTTACAGTTCAATTCCCAGTCAGGGTACATGCCCAGGTTGCAGGCTAGATCCCCAATGTGGGGTGTTGCAGGAGGTAGCCAATCAATGATCTCTCTCATCATTGATGTTTCTAACAGTAGGAAGAAAAGACAATTACTGAAATGTAAGTGAAAAGTTGAGAAGTGCCTTGGCCTAAGAAAGTTCTATTAGCATTTTGGGGTTGATCTAAGTAGCTGAGGTGGGGAAATGGAGGTGGAAGGTAGTAAAACTTATACAAATTGTGTTACCATAGAGGACTTTATGATTCAGACAGATGAGAAATATATGGCTCTCATGCTCACCTCCAAGTATTTCTCAAACATCACCTTCTTAGAGACCTCTCCTGACCACCCTATTTGAAAATTGTACACCCCTCCCCATATTTCCTTATTCTACTGCCCCCACCACTTAATTTTTCTTCATGGCACTATCACCGTCCAACAGATTCAAGAATACATAAATCTGTGGAACGGCAAACCAATGTTCCTCTCTCTCCAATCAAAAAATAATAATTATTTTTAATTACAGAATTTCTGATGTTATTTCATATGCAATGGAAGATATATCACTCACTTCTTCCACTCTAAGCAACCTTTAAAATAAATTATTTTGATGAATTAGAAGCTGATTAAACTATCTCTTCAGGTTACAAGTGTAAAACATTAATACAGTTTCCTACTTTCTGCCACAGCAAAATATTAACTATGGTTAACAGTTTACTACCTAGTTTGATATTTGAAATAAATCACTAAAGCCTAATATTTCTTAACTTGGGTAAAACCTGATTATCATATATATAGAACTACCTATTCCTTTCTCCAAAAGAACACAAATATTCTTCCAGTTTTTCCCATTAAATAGAAATAAACTGACAACCACAAAGCTCTTTTGAGTGATAAAGAAATGTGGAATGAAAAGGTCAAGTTCGATGTAGCAGTAGTGCCAACTGCACCTGAAGAAAATCAACAAACAGGTTTTATATCTGCAATTTCTTAATCAAACAAATCAAAGCAAGTAACAGTACTTTCTAAACACATTACTTTTCTGTGTAGCAACCCACAAAACAAAAATGTAACATAGTCCATTTCCTGAGCAATAACTCCAAGTAGTTACCCAAAAGTAACTCAAATCTCAATTTCAAAACACAACTCTACAAGCTAAAAAACCCAACATCCTACATTACAACAAAGTTAAAGGATTTATTTAAAAACCCATTTGAAAATGCCTAGAAACTATAAACTACTTACTTCAAAGCAAACATCACACACATTAATTAAAAATGTTAATAGTCACTCAAATTGGCCAATCAAGAGATCCTATACAACCCAAATAGTCAATAGCTTGCTTATTGGAAATAATGCCACTGATGTTACAACAGTGCTTTAAGTTATATATACAGAATAACTCATTAGAAATTTATTTTATCTCTGGCTTGTATACACCAGTTAACTTCTAAGAGGTGCCTGATGACCTTACTGAACCCTAGTATTTTCACTAACAAAGCTGAGCCTATCTCAGAATTATGTAGCCAGCCAATTTAAATATAAATATTACACTAGCCCAAATATATAATTTTTTTGCCCCATGACAATATATTAAAACTAAACAGATCTATTCTTTTATCTTAATTGGTTAAAGTAGCAACCACTTGGGGGAGGGGGAGTTTCAAGGGTTAAATTAAGAATGGGCATGTAATAGATATGGATGATTAACTCAGGATGTTGAATGGTTTGATATATCACTCTTAATTTCATTTAGTGAAAACCACTGAGAAGAGGTCTGATTAATAGCTACACATCACTTGGTTAATGTGGCATGATGTATTATCATTAAAGTCTCAATGGCAGAATTTGTGCACAGAATTACTCCAAAAAAAAGTTCAGCCCAGCTGGCATGGCTCAGTGGTTGAGCGTGGACCTATGAATCAGGTCACGGGTGTGGGCTTGATCCCCAGTGGGGGACATGCAGAAGGCAGCCAATCAATGATTCTCTCTCATCAATATTTCTGTTTCTCCCTTCCTCTCTTTCCAATTTTTCCCCTTCACCTAAATTAATGCCCACTATTTTCTTTATTTAGTTCTCAAAATAGCCCGTTATTGTATGGTTGTCATAAAGACTAAGGTAGATCTCTGGGGCTCGCATACATACAAACATACAAAAATGAAATCCTGAAGCCGTGTAAATTTTTCAAAGACTGGGTGAATTTGACTTCCCAACATAGTTTTTGTAAGAACAAAATACTATAAGTTAAGGACAAAAAGCATCTCATGCTGCTAGGATTAGGAACATCTGTGTTCTATTCATGACCATTTTTAGGAAAACTAACAAGAAGTTCACTGTTCAATTAAAAAAAAGCAATAAAAAATTATTACTGAACAGAAAAAAATATTAATAACCTAGAAATATCCTCACCAACCCCCATCACCTTTCTTCTGCTGTAGTCCTTTGCATTTCGCCAGTTTCTTAGCAACCATACAGGACTCAAGCACATGCAGAACAAGAAAAAACACTATGGTTTTTTTTTTTTCTTTTAAAATCTAGAACCAACTGTACTGAACATTGTTCTCTTAACCTAGGAGTCACTCAAGACAAGGGTCCAATTTAGATAAATATGCCACCCTAAAGGTCAGTGACCAAATTTGGTCAACAGTGGTGCCATCACTGCCGTCATCATTCTTGTCACTGTCAGTAACAACTGTCACCTTGCCATTACCAGGACGGGAGAGCAACTGGTATATTCCTTTTGTAAGTTCTATTTACAGACTATAAAGAGCCCACATCATCTCAGTATGACCTTACACAATGGAAGAACCCCAAACACAAAAGGCCTTCCAATAAAGAACTTTCTGATATTAAAAGCTGATAAGTCACAAGAACTTAAAAGACCCTGCCACATTCGAGAATAATTTCTAACTGCACTGTAACTGTCAGGAGGCATCTATTTTCTGTTTACAAATGGCTTCGTATGTTTTGCTTGTAATTTGAAAATACCGAGGGTTAAAAAAAAAATTCATGAAGATACTGCTTAAACCTCCAAATATAATCTTCTCACCCAACAGACATCATTTATTTCCTGGTTTTTCATTTATGGACTATTCTCAACATTTTGGAGAGACAATAAATTGCTTTATACTTACAAAAGATATACATGCTGCCAGCAATAAAATTCTAACTAGTAAGTCTTCAAACTGCTCAATCACAAGTTCCAGCAAGGTTTTCCCTGTTAGAAACAAACATCACATTTGTTGTAAATGTCATCTTAACATCAGCACACAAAGGGGGGGTGGGGGCGAGAACATTTTAAGGTTACTTACCTTCTTCAGCCGGTAACTCTGTAGAATGTAGAAATTCGCCAAGCAACGTTTCAAGAGGGGGGAGGAACAACAGAAAAAAAAACAAACACATTTTAGCCTTGTCTTTTTAAAAGAAATTGCTCAAAATGCTCACTTTTTGAAAGATGTACCTAGATATATGTACATTCAACCATTTTCAACGGAAACCATAGTAAAATGGTACCCCGGGAAAATAGGCAATACTTGCTGTAACCAATGGCCTTAGGTCTACCCCAAAGCGTAAAATCTCATCCCCCCTCAACAGGAATCCTGAACCAGGAGTCATTTCAGCTCTGTCATCGCTCCTGCCAGATGTGTGACTCTGGGGAGGACGAGCGCGGCCGGGGCATTCTCACTACAGCGACGCCTCGTAAGCCGGCCGGAGCGAGAACATGTCTCGCAGGGCTCAGCCCGGCGGCAGGAGGCTCGTCCTTCCCCCGCGGGG